TCTTGGCTTTTCAGCTGAGCCAATAGTGGTCTGAGCTCATCAGCTCAATTTCTGATACATCCTCTGGCCAAGGACAGTACTAAACAGAGTATTTAGAGATAGAACTGGGCCAGCAGCTTGCACCATCCAGGCCACACTTCAGCCTGGTATCCAGCTCCCTCAGGGGAGCACACAAACAGCAACAACAAAACAAACCAGTAACACACACTCCCTTCCATCCTGAAGCCATACTGTCCCGCAAACACCAATGTTGCCTGTCTCCGCTCAACAAAAGCCAGTCCTGTCCCTCAGCTCCAACCTCATCCTCCATTCTGACCAGTGCCGTCCTCTGTCCTCAACCGACCCAGTATTTGATGTGATCAGAGGGACCCAGGGACAACTGCATCCTGCTCCCTTATGGACCCCACACCTGTCCTCCAGGAGCCCCTTTCAGCTGGGACCATGGGGGTCCTCAGCTCCACGTATGCACCTGGAAACAGCATGCTGCGTGTCAGGTGCCCTGACTAGTCTTTGTTCTGTCTGTGGCCGGGATTCTGCAACGTGGCCGACACAACATGTCTGGGAGACCCAGGTAGTCTGTGCAAGAGGAGGACACCCCTAAGGGCGGGCTTCTCCTCCTTCCACACACAAACCTAGAGAACCCATCACTGGCAATGCCTGGCCTTCCTCAAGCATCCTACGTTTTTCCCTTGGGTCAGAGGCTTCTTCTCTGACCCTGGGTTCCAGGTAGCTGTGCCTAGAAGTGGGGACGAGAGAGCTGAGAGCCTGACACCCTGAACCCTGAGACCCTTGAGACCCTGAACCCTGTCTGCTGAGCCTGAACATCACCATTACCACTGAACTTTTCCAGACTGTCCTTCAAGGATATTTGTCCATTGGGCAGCCTTGCTAGATGGTGTTGCTTGAGGTCAGCTTTGCTTGCTGTCCTGGGAAGGAACATTTTGTCCCTCCTATAACATCTTTACTGTCGGGGATGACAGAGATAATGTCTCTCCAGAGTGAGTTTGTTTTCAGCCCAGGTAATAAAGATAATGTGTTCAGCATTACAGAGGCTGGGCATGCATCCACACACCTCTTGTATTTAGGGAGCTTTATTTTTATTAAGTTGTTTTCTTTGTTTTGATTTGGTGTGTGTGTATGCGTGTGCTCTGGGGATTGAATCTAGGGCTTTATACCTACTAGGGACACCCCTGACCATGCTCCCAGACCCTCACTGGGGGATTCTAGGCAGGGGCTCTACCACTGAGCCACATCCCAGCCCCTCACTGGGGCATCCTAGGCAGGGGCTCTACCCCTGAGCCACACCCCAGCCCCTCACTGGGGCATCCTAGGCAGGGGCTCTACCCCTGAGCCACACCCCAGCCCCTCACTGGGGCATCCTAGGCAGGGGCTCTACCCCTGAGCCACACCCCAGCCCCTCACTGGGGCATCCTAGGCAGGGGCTCCACCACTGAGCCACAGCCCAGCCCCTCACTGGGGGATCCTAGGCAGGGCCTCTACCCCTGAGCCACACCCCAGCCCCTCACTGGGGGACTATAGGTGGGGGGGTCTACCCCTGAGCCACACCCCAGCCCCTCACTGGGGGATTATAGGCAGTGGCTCTACCACTGAGCCACACCCCAGCCTCTCACTGGGGGATCCTAGGTAGGGGCTCTACCATTGAGCCACACTCCAGCCCCTCACTGGGGATTCTAGGCAGGAGGTCTACTGCGGACCTACACCCAAGCCCTACACAGGATTCTTTGCCCAACTTCCTCACAGTCACACAAACTCTTGTGTGTGGCAAACCCACCTAGACTGCTCTGCTCACCCCCAGGGGTTTGGGGGACTGTGGGTGCTGTTACACTAAGGTCAGGCTGCCTGCTGGCTGTGGTGCAGTCTTTGACTCACTGTCTGTTTCCTGAGCCACCGTGAACTCTGGCCTTCGTATGTTGTTTGAGGCCCCTCAGAGTGTGGGGGTACCAGCTGGGCAGTGGGGCTGTACCTTGAAGGACACAGGAAGGACGCTCATTGGGTGTGGAGGGCAGGAGGAGGGCATGGTGGAGGCACAGAGTGTGGGATGGGACTCTGGTGGTCTGGGGTCAGTCTTTGAGCGCCCCAAAGGCAATAGTCAGGGTGGGGTGCAGAGGAGTGTCCACCACCCGTTTCCTAAGCCTTTAACGACACCATTAATCTTTCCTCAGGTGGCGACTGGTCATGGTCCCCACACTGTCCTCGTGGACTGTCTAAGTGCTGAGGGTTGAGTCTGGCACATATAAGCACTCAGTCGTGCTGATACACACCCATAAAAACCATGCAGGGTCAGGGCCTCTCACACACGGAACCCTCACAGTGACCCTCTGCAGCAGCGTGCTCAGTACAGTTTAACCTTGCCCAAACTGCTTAGCCCTTTGTCCAGCTCCTGACAAGCCTTTGGTGTGTCCCTCCCACCTGCCCTGCCTTTAGTCAGGTGGGGACCTTGGCTTCACAGTGTTCTACAGTGTGGTGATGTGGGTGGCTTTAGAGCCTCTCGTATCAGTAGTCTTCTCTGGGAGCCAGATGATGGAGGTCCACCATGAAGTCTCTGACCATGTCTGTGTGACCGAGCCTCAGTCACTTCTCTGGGTCCTCCTTGGGTTCCCTGGTTTTCAAGTCCCCATGCATACTGTCCCCTCAGTCTGTGATGTGTGTGCCCAGTGGTGATGGATGGTTTTAAATGTCCCCTTGACTAAGTAAAAAGATCTCTGTGACAGTTGATGCACATGTTCATGTGTCTGTGGAGACTTTTCCAGGAGAGATCGACTTGTGCGTCAGAGACTGATAGGAAAGATCCATTCTGTATGTGACTAGCACCTTCCAATAAGCTGTGGGCTTATTGGATGAAAAGAAGCTGGAGGGGCTGTGGTTGTGGCTCAGTAGTAGGGCACCTGTGGCCGTGTGTGAGGCTCTGGGTTCAAGACCCAGCCCCAAAATAAAGGACTGCGAAGAAGTCAGTGTGCATGTGTGGAGGCTTTCTCCTCAAATCATTCTGTGCATGGCCGTCATCCTCTGCTGTGAACTCCAGTCTTCCCATGTGGACTCAGGACCAATGACTTCCTATGTCTTCAATACTCATGGAGGCTGCTGAGGAACCTGACTTCCTGGACTGATCATCTCCCTGGCTCTCAGGCTCTCCAGTATACAGACAGCTACTGTGGGACTACCCAAGTCCTGCTGTGTAAGGCAATCTAATAAATCCCCCCTTATACTGCATACATGTTGCTATATAGATATCTACAAATATGTGTATGTATTTGTAATGTATACATACCTTCCAAAGAGATAAATAATGTATATTATATGCATCCTATTGGTTCCGTTCCTCTAGAGAACTCTCACCAACATGCTGGCCGTGTTCTCACTTATGTCTGGGTGACACTACCTCCTTGCCAGCTTCTCTACCTGCCTTGACTGCTTTCCTGTGTGTGTGTGTGTGTGTGTGTGTGTGTGTGCATCCTTGAGACGTGTGACAGCTGAGGGAAGCCTGCTGCTGTCCTCTGAGGGTGTGTGCTTACTTCCCACTGTGTGAACCTATAAATGCGTTCACATCTGGTTGTGTGTAGGGTCACCTGTGTGTTAGTATGTCCCAGGTAGGCATCTTAGTGACTAAGGGTCCAGCCTGTGGGGCAGGTCATATAATTTGTATGCAGTGCCTGAGGGCAGACTGTGGGAGGCAAGGGTTCGGGAAGAGGATGGGGATGGAGAAAAGGATGGGGATGGGGAAGAGGATGGGGATGGAGAAGAGGATGGGGATGGGGAAGAGGATGAAGATGGGGAAGAGGATGGGGATGGGGAAGAGGATGGGGATGGAGATGAGGATGAAGATGGGGAAGAGGATGAAGATGGGGAAGAGGATGGGGATGGGGAAGAGGATGGGGATGGAGAAGAGGATGAGGAAGAGGATGGGGATGGGGAAGAGGATGGGAATGGAGAAGAGGATGGGGATGGAGAAGAGGATGGGGATAGAGAAGAGGATGGGGATGGAAATGAGGATGAAGATGGGGAAGACGATGGGGATGGGGAAGAGGATGGGGATGGGGATGAAGATAGGGAAGGGGATGGGGATGGCCAGCCCACTGTGGGTGGTGCTGGGAGATAGCAGGAGTCTGTCACTCCTTTAGTAGACAAATAGTAAGGGAAGGACAGGCCTGGGTGGGTGCAGTTTCCTTTTGCCATGTCGTACAATGTCCAGGATGGCCTCCACTTCCTGGTTCTTCCCTAAGACTGGGGTGGGGTGCGGGGGACGCTTTTTTTGGCTTGTCCCAAATGTGCAAATCTTCTTTCCTGCCTTTTAGTTCTTTAATCAGTGGAGAAAACAAACCAGTTCCTGCACCACTAGATGGCAGGAGGTTCCGAGCTGTGTAAAAAGCTTGCCAACTTTGAGCCTCTGAGCAAGTCAGCAAGCAGCATTCCTCCCAGCTGAATTCCATAGACTTCCCTCAGTGATTAACTATGATATGGAAGTTTAAGCCAAATAAGCCCTTTCCTCCCTTAAATTGCTTTTGATCAGAATGTTTTATCACAGCAATGGAAATCAGACTGGAACAACACCCAACTGTTTGAAAATAGAGTGAAATCTGAGATTTTCTTTCTTGAAAACAAATGAGTGGAACCACCAGGACTCCAATAATACCAGAAGTGGATGCCGTGTCCCGGATCTGAGACAAAAGACATTACCCTCAGCACAGTGGGCAGCACAGGCATTTTCCTTGACCCCAGATGCTATGGGGTGATGAACACCAGCCTGGCTGATGTGTGCACACCGTGGTTTGTTCATTTGAGGGGAATGTGAGCCTCTTGACATGTTTGATTGTACACGGGGGCCACTAGCAAATTTATTGAGGAGGGGAGAGAAACAGACATAGAGAGGGGTTCTCTTTATTTACTATTCTGGAGTGAACAAACTCTTGTGGAAACCTTGCCTTTAAGGATAGCAAACAAATCCCTTTATACAGAGACTTCATATCTCCTGGATGATGAACAGACTTGCTCTGAGAGCAATGCCCATCTTCCACGCTGCCCATATGTTGGGTAGCAATTTCCCACAAATTGAAACATTCACTCCTAGAAGAAGGAGGGAGACTTATGAGACTCCAGATGCAAATGAAGCTTGTAAGCCTCAGGGGGCTTCCTGAAACTTGCAGAACTCACAAGGCCCCTAAGACTCACAAGATCCCTTCCCCAAGGTTGTAAAAACAGCAAACTGCGAGAGAGGCTCCCACCTGCTGAGCCGCTCCGAAGTTGTGAAGGGAGTCCAGGGTTGCACATCTCTTGGGTCGTCACTCAGGCTGGTGGGCTTTGGGGGTTACAGCTGCATTTGAGTTATTTCTCCTTCTGTAAGTCACCTCTCACTGGTACTCTGGTAAGTAAGTCCAATATACTCATCAGTTGAACTGCTGCAGGGAGGATCAGGCTAGACACTGTATGCATGTACAGGAAGCAGATGTTTTATTTAGGCTGCAGCCTGGTCCAATGGGCTCAAATTTGTACCCCAAAGGGAAGTAGCACACACCTTTTATACCTTAGGCATTGGGTTACAGCGAGAAGGAAACCTACATTGATTGGCTATTATTAAAGTCCCCTAAAATCAGGCAGATTATTATAAATTTAGAAAATAAAAACATGCCTAAAAAAGCCCCTGTCTGAAGTCATCGCCTGAGACAAACAGAAATGAGGGAGTTTCGTCAAGACACAAGGCAAGTGGGTCTAGCTAGCTGTGTCAATGTTCTAACCACAAACTTGTCAGGTGAGCCTTGCTGACTGAGACACAGAGAAAATTAGGATTAAAATCCACATTTTCCTTTAATATCCATTCCATCAGGCTCTACATCACATCACCTTGAATTTTGGAAGCATTGTTGCTGTGGTCTGTCACTGCTGCCCCATAAGAGACTAGTAGAGCCGCTGGAGAGAGGGCTCAGCAGTTAGAGCACTGGCTGCTCTTGCAGAGGACCCAGGTTCAGTTCCCAGCACCCACATGGTGGCCACAAACCTTCCTTAACTCCAGTTCCAGGGGATCCTTCACCATCTTCTGGCTTCCTCCGGCATTGCACAACACAGGTGCACTTACATGCATGCAGGCAAGGCACTCATACACATAAAATGAAAATTGCGGCTGCCGCCAGCTGCGGTCACCCTTCCACTCTTCAGGTGCTGGGTGCTGTCTCCGGGTGCTGCTCCTCCCGCAGGTGCCACCTGCAGTCTCACGGGCACTGCCCTTGCTCTAGCCTGCCGCAAGCTGTGGTCCCTCTTCCGCTCACTGGAGCACTGAGGCAGCTCTTCTGCTCACCCAGTGCTGGGGCCACTCTTCTGCCTCTGATCATTGCTATTTCTGCCTGGTCCTGGACCCCAGGGCTGGTGAGGAGACTGTGTCAGTGGAGCCCCATTCAGACACAGGAGACCAGGTTTGGTCATGCAGATCTGGTTTATTGTAGAAGGGCACAGCCTTATATAGGGGTGGGGTCCAATCAAGAAGTTACAACTCAGCTCTTTGGCAGGGCTGTGTCCTATCATGACATCACGAGTCAGACACCTCATTAGCATAGTGGGTTTCAGGTTACTTAGGTTCCGGTTTCCTTATAGGGCCTGGTTTCCTGGGAGCCACGTGACCCAGGCTGTTGCATTATCTAAGTGTTGCAATTTGGAGTCTCAAGGGTGGTGATTAGGGAGTGGTGAGCTCTAGGCATCAGTCTCATGATCTGCCAATGGGAGCAAATGTTACAAGGCGTTTTTTGTGGCTCCAGCGGTGGGGCCATTCCCTCAGGCCTGCTGTATGGCTGTCATTAAGACTTTCACCCTAGGCTCAAGCCTGTCTCCCGCAGAAAATAGTAATTTTTTTGTCTTTTTGAAACAAGGTCTCCCTGTAGCCCCAGCTGTCCTGGAAGTATGTAGACCAGGCTGGCCTTGAACTCACAGAGATCCTCCTGCCTCTGCCTCCCAAGTGCTGGGACTACAGGCGTGCACCACCACGCCTGGCAATAATAAGTAATTTTTTTAAAAAGGGACTAGTAAACATCTTTTCATGTCACCACAGGAAAAAATAATATAATATCATGAAACAGGCATCCTAGAAAGGCAACCCACAAGGAAACAGGTACTATTCATGGATGTCATGTCAGTGTATATATCCACATGCCCATGTCTTAGCTTGCCATATTCATATACACATGAGAATTCATATCATGATTCTTCTTGCTTGCATGTATATGTCCATGCATGCACATGTGTGTGAGGATGGCCAGGGATCAACATTCTTCACTGTATATTTTCTTTCTTATTTGTATTTGTATGCATGCATGTTTGATGTGTGTGGGTGCACATCTGTGTGTGAATACTTATGTACCATGTGCCTGTGCATGTGGAGGCTGGAGTTGATGTTGGGGATCTTCTTCAATCCCTATTTTAAGAAGTGAGGCAGTCTTTCAATTGAACCTGTAACTTACCATATGGCTAGTCCAGCCAACCAGCTTGATCCCAGATTCCCTGTCTCTGCCTATGGGGCACTGGGATTATAGGTGGGCCGTCATGGTTACCTGGCATTTAGACCTAGGGATCTAAACTCTGGTCCCCGCACTTGTACAGCAAGTGCTTTCACACAGATCATCTCCATCGCCCTTGACCTTATTTTTGAGCCTGAGTCTCTCATTGAACCTGGAGCTCACTGGGCCTTTTACATGGGTTCTGGGAACCTAAACTCAGGCCTTCATGATTTCACAGCAGGAACTTTATGAACAAAGCATCTCCCCAACAACCTGTTCACCCCCATTCATGGACTCACATGAGCATGTCTTCCGTGATTCTTGTGAAAAGGAAAAGAAACACATACCCTTCCATTTAATGCTACTTTTGTGTGCATCTGTTATTAGTTCTATACCTATTTTAAACCTTAGAATGATGAAGAAAAACTAATGTGGAGTTAATAAATTATGACCTCATTATAACTTTGTTCTATATGGTAGATGAGTCAATGCTAACAAATGCATTTGATAAGAACCTTACGCACGCCTAGTAATAAGTATGCTTGTTGCTCTAGGTAGAAGCAACAGGACTTTGGAAGCTTCTGCTTGCTCTCAAATCATAGAGGAAAATCTTCCACTCTGAGTCCAGTCTTGGGCTGCCACAGGACCGACAACCACAGAACCACAGACTGGTCTTAAAAAGAAAATCTGCTTACAATGTGTTTTGCTTGTTAGGCATTGCACTAGCACAAACAACATATCATGTTACAGGGAATGCCACAATCCTTGTCCACGCTTGCCCAAAACACATCTGTGTGTGAATACATCTGCTTTTGTAAAACATTGTTTAAATTTCCTGTAATAGCCGAGAGGGCACGTGCACATCTATGCTGAAAGTCTTGTTGGGTCTGAGGTTTGGGAATGATTGGAGACCATCCACCAAAATTCGAAATTTAGAAGATTTTATTGAAGAGCATTCCAATTCTTGAATGACCAGTTGGGCACAGACTCCAGGAGCCAATGAATGGAGTCCGGCCCCAACCAACAATGAGCGGGGGTTTTTGTTGGGTACTCTTGAAAAAAGCCCATGCAAACTGGGCAACCTTTGAATTGATTGGATAACTCTGAATTCCTTGTGTGTTGGGGGATTTCATTGGTTATAGTCATGTTCAGCCGCCTGGAATGTCTCCATTTTTCCTTTTATGGTAGGGTGCCCCTATCGGCCTCTGGATGCCCTTTTATGGTCAGGAATTTCGGTTGGTTTTGGCAGGCATGTCCGGGCTTGCCTAATCTTAGCCTGCAGTATGGGGCAAAGGAGACTTACAGTTTCTAGGAACAGAGACTTAAGGCTGACAAGATGGAGGCTGCTAAGAAATGGAGCCAGTGTGACCTGGGTCCTTCAGTCTCAAATGCACCAAGATGGTTACTGCAAAAGGTGATGCAAAAAATCCTATAAAAACCTGTAAGTGGGGCAGCAGAGATGGCTCAGTGGTTAAGAACAATGGCTCTTTTGCAGAAGATCCGGGTTCCAATCCCAGCACCTACATGGCAGCTAACAACTGTCCATAACTCCAGTTCCAGGGGCTCTGACAGCCTCTTCTGACCTCCTCAGGCATTACATGACATGGGTGCACTTGCCTACATGCAGACAATACATGAATACACATAAAAAAATAAGTAAAATATTTCTTAAAACCTGTATATATTTCTGGTTGGGGCCTCAGTTTTCTCTAGAGCAGGAGTTCAGACTGAGATCCACGTGTAATAAAGGAAAACTTCTGCTCCCTGAATATGGCTTGAGTCTTGTCACTATGCCAGGACCTAACAAGAACACAAAAGTTATCTGGTAACACCAGAAGTTATTTTAAAAATTGAAAAATAAAATGAGGGCTGGAGGGATAGCGCAGTCATTAAAGGCTAACGCTAATAACCAATAAATAAATAAATAAATAATAAAAAATAAATATACATTGTAAATGGAACTTCTCAACACTCCTTAGTTTGAGCAACAGATGATCAT